TCATTCTGATGGTCTGTGTAACATTTTCTATTTAGAGCCGGCATCTGGAAGTCCAGCTACTCTGCGATCAGTATGGAAACGTTGCAGCTTTGCATAGTCGTGATTGCAGTGTTCAGAGGAGGCACCAGAAGGTGAGTTCTTCTAATGATACTACCTTTTTTCTTAAAAAACATTTCTTTCTTGTTCTGGTGAAAATAAAGTTACACATGGCTCTTCTCAGCCAAAGAATAATAAGAAAAAAAAATGCATGGTATTATTTTGAGATCTATTCTATTGTGATATCTTACTTTGTCATGTTAACAAGACAGATTATTGAGGAGGGTCCAATTACTGTGGCTCCATTGGAGACAGTCAAGAAACTTGAGCAAGCAGCTAGAAGGTTGGCTAAATGCGTTAACTATGTTGGAGCAGCTACTGTTGAGTATCTTTATAGCATGGACACTGGAGAATACTATTTTTTGGAGCTCAATCCTCGACTACAGGTGTAATTTACTGGCCCAAGCCTCACTCTAATCCGTCCCATGCATCTTGAGCTGCCATTTCCTACAGTCATTTTGCAATCTCGAATTTGTTTTTTTTACTTGAATATGTAGTACTTTAGTTTCCTAACCTAATTTGTGCCTGGCATTAAAAAATGCATGGAAGCATCCTTACTTGGAAGGGAAGTTGAAAAGGGGATAAAAGTATGGCCGTTAACTTGGGAACATCTATGAAGCTTGCTAATTTTAGTGTGCTATTATTTGGAGCCAACATCTAAGAAGAGGATAGTTCTAAATCGATGATGTTAGGCTTAGTTGCCAACTGTTTTGATGATGGAAAACCAATATTTAAATTTCTATACAAATGTTTTGCACCTCATTTTCTCTTCAATTCTATACGCGTCTTCTTGTTCTGATGTCCTGGCTGTTTCTGAGATGTGATTTTCTTGATATATGTTTCTAAATTCATTGAAATGTAGGTGGAACACCCAGTCACTGAGTGGATTGCAGAAATAAATCTGCCTGCTGCCCAGGTTGCAGTTGGGATGGGCATTCCTCTCTGGCAAATTCCTGGTATGATATATGAGATTTAATAATTGTCCGAAGCCTGTTTACCTAGTCATCTGAGGCATGTGTCTCTCACCATGTCCCTATGCATCATTCAATTAGAAATCAGGCGATTTTATGGTATGGAGCATGGTGGAGGGTATGATGCTTGGAGAAAAACATCGATCGCTGCTGCT